ATAGATAGATAGATAGATAGATAGATAGATAGATAGATAGATAGATAGATAGAAAGATATAGATATAGATATAGATATAGATAGATATAGATATAGATATAGATATATCTTTGTTATTTTATATGTTAATGTAATTTCCCTCCCCCTTCCCAAGTTATTTTTTCCCAAAAGTTACAGCTTAGAGAATTGTAAAGCTGATGTCTATCTCTGCATCTAATATTTGTTTGTTTCTGTTGGCATTTCATAGATTTATGTTACAGAGAGCTTCTGAAATCCATATTTTCACAAGACTTAGAAATAAGAAAATTGACAGTCTCCCTTAGCGTTTTCAAGTAATTACTTCTGTGCTGGTTTCAAAGACATTCAGAGACACCCTTCAGTGGATTAATAATTGTTTAGAGCTTATGAATACATTCTTTTTAGCAAAAGGAGCCAATTTTCTGCCTCTTCCCAAATTTTTTAACGCTTTAGGAAGGGGGCTTTGAAAAAAAGACATTTAGTTCATCTGCAATAGTGTTTCATGTTTTGCTTTATGGCTTATGAATTATCTTTTCTTCTTAGAGTGTTTCTATTTTGCTATTATATTGAGAATGCTCCACAAAATATAATAATTGGGAATGTTTTCCTTGTGCTGCAGATCAGATTCATCCACTTGGGCGCTCATTCAATTCTATTCCTCGACTTGCTAACATTTCCTCGTTTAGACATCAATTTTGAATCCCTCGACTGGATTTCAAAAGCTTCCACTTAAAATCCAGAACTTCTTGGCTCTCCTCACTTCCCAGAAATCACTAGCAGCTGTTCCCTGCAAGATCTGACAGATTGGGCCTGTAGAGCTGGGAGACGGAGGTCCTGTAAATTCTTAGGAGCAGAGCTGTGAAGACCATTATAAACTAATCCCAGCATCTTAAATTGGGCTCAGAAACTTATCAGTAAGAGAATAGAGGGGAAACAGTTTTGCTACATCAATATATAGTTGCACATTGACTTTGTAAATGGTATCACTTTGAAACTAAAAAGAGTTCTTCTCCTCTTAAGTAAATACTAAAGGACACATACCTTGGGTTCATGAATTGCCTGAAGAAACTCCCATAAATATCTATAAATACACATAGTACCTTTAGAATATAGGAACAGAATGTGAATAGGGAAGATCTTGTTCCAGAGCACTGGAAAATAGTTATCAGGTATACTATACTAAGCCAAATTGTAACATGCATTATTTCAAGTCAGTATGGTGTATCAAAAGAAGGCAACAAAAACAATTTGACAGATTTACAGATCAATTCTAATTATACATAGCTTGAAGTAAGTCTCAATAGTTATCTCCCTGGCTCTTATTTTGAAAGAGCATCAAGCAATTGAGTCTCTGCTCTTTTGAGACATCTGTCATCAGAGGTTTTTTGAGCCAAAAGTATATTTAGGATTAGAATGCGACTGGCAGAATAAATACAAAAACTTGGAAATAAATTGATTCCATTAGATTTTAAGACTTCAATCCTATGGTACCTGTGTGATCTAGAGATCAAAAGATTCATCAGAGCATTTCTCCAAAGCCAAAGAGTCAGCTCAGAATTTCAGAGACAGGGAAAGGAGTCACACTTAAGATAAATGTATTTTAATATTAGCGTGTAAGCTATACATTTCTTGGATGTGGTACAGATTTCTTTCCTCTACTGTAGTTTCAATGGAAAAGAATTTAGGTGTGTATGTGGGGAAAAGTTTTGCTAGAATTTGATACCTCAAACAGGAAATGTCATTCCACAGTCCTGGGGTCATTGCTGTAAAGCCCCAAACTTCTTAGCTTGATTAGTGTTAGAAAGCAAAAGAATGGTGTAAGAAATCCATCCCATTCCCATAGGATTTTCAGGGGTTTCACAAAAATACAAACATTTAAGAATTCACAGTTCAATACAATCCAAGTGCATCAGATAGAGGCCAGGATATATATATAAAAAAACCAGGAAAAACAATCCAGAAAAGATCTGGTTGCTCTTTGGAAGAGCTTAATCTTTTACTTTTTGGGAAGGTGGCTAAAATTAAGCATAATCCAATTTGCAGTAGAAAGCGTTTCTAGAAGGATGACACTACTGTACAGAAGCAGGAGCTCTGTGTCTTGGCCTATCATATTTCCCCAAACCAGATGAATCACCAGCTGCTTTTCCTGCCAAAATCAACCCGTTAACACCCTATAAAAGAGCACCAACCAAATTAATCTCTCCTTTCTTACCACTGAAACTAGCTATGGAGTCACTGTAAAATAGTGTCCCTTTCCCCCATTTCCCAAAGTTGGCTCAGAAAGATACCATGATCAATGGGATTAAAAGCTGCCCCAAAAAGACCATCCAGATTCTAAGATCATCCACTGGTATAACCAAAGTAGTCTTCACAATAGAATAAGTGATGAATCCTGATTGACCAAATTGCACACAATTCCTTTCCTTAGGGTACTAGGTAGTAGGTTCTTCACCATCTTCTCAACAATCTTCACTAAAAAGGAGAAGAGTGGACATTGTGCAACAGTTATCCAATGTCTCTGGATACAGTGAGAATCTCTTAAAATGGGGAGCTTACCGTATCCTCCTGCTTACCTAGCTTTACAAATGTGATTGTTTATAAGAGGAAAACACACTTCAAACAAATCTGAAACATGCGTGCATTGTAGCAAAGTGGTACCATCCGAAATTTCTTCAATGGGCTTTAAGTAGGTGAACACAGGATGCTACCTTGATTATTAGGGAGACCTCTAATTTACACATATATTCACACACATATAATTCACACACATAATTCACGCACATAATTCACACATATATTCGCACATATATTCTGTGCAAGTTGAACAGTGAAGATGTGTGGGACCACAGTTGCTTTTGCATAATTAAAAATATTGGTAAAGGTAAAGTGGGTAGTTGACTGAATTAGATATGTCTATGTCTATGCATATGTATAGTATTTGAATCTCCAGGTAGATGCATCTTAGTGCTTTGTTTGGAAGTAAGTGGTGTGATTTATATGTGAGATTGCACTTGGGGCTAAAAAAGAGGGAGGTTAGGGTTAGGGTTAAACACAAATGATCAGCCGATGGGTTCTGCAATCAAATTATCAAATAAATGGGTATTTGTCATGCAACATTCAGAGAAATGTGATTCAGAACACCTTAATCAAGGAGGACTGGATTAAACTATTTCAGTCCTCCAGAAGCAGTATTTTAAAACCTAACTTCTGGAATTAGAACTCATTAAAGAAAATCTGTATGAACTTTGCTTCCTTGATTGTGTGCTTGACAATAGGAAACACCTGGCAAGGAGGAGCTTGAAGCCACATTGAACAGCATCCTTACTAGTTGGCCTTCTGGCAAATCAGTGCTTTACAATTTCTCATGCCCAGCATGACAGCCATTTTGCAAGAGCACCATAATGTAGTCAGAATCCCAAATGTGCTTACCATTCAAAGATTTTAAGAATTCTCAGACAACACCTGTAAGATATTGTTATATGGAGATACATAGAGAGCCAATATGGTCTGGTAGTTAAGACCCCAGGCTAGAAAGCAAGAGACTGTGAGTTCAAGTCCTACTTTAGCCATGAAAAACAGCTGGGTGATCTTGGGTCAATCATTCTCTCTCATCCCAGCTCACTTCACAGGTGGTGGGGAGAATAGGAGGAGGAAGGTGTGTTAGTTATGTTCATCCCCTGAGTTATTTGTAAAAATAATAAAGGCAGGATATAAATAGATAAATAAAACTAAAACACCTTGCTTTTCCTAATCATCCTAATTTTGCAAGGCATAATACTATTGTAAAATATATGTTGGTATAAAATAGTGGTTTGATTGCAGCAGTCTACTTAGAAAAACTAAACTTGAATCAGAAGAAATTGGAAGCAAAGCAAGACTAAGTAGGAGGGAGTATTGTCTATAACCCCCACTCCCCTCTTCAAAGAAGCAGCTAAATTTTATGTGATACTGAATCAGAAAAAGTGCCATTGTAGCTCTTGCTGTCTGCTAAAAGAAAAAGAAAAACAGCTACTTGTCTCATTGAAGTTTGCTAATATTACTAGTGCAATGTAACTTTTGTTTCTAATTATTAGATAACCTGTTCAAACCAAAGGAACGGTACATTTCAGAAAAGGAGATGCATATGCGATCAAAAAGGTAGGAGCATCCTAAACGGCATCATGAACTTGATCCTTTTTCCATCATGAACTTGATCCTTTTCCCTTCATCTTTGCCTTTCTTCATAAGCAATTGTGAATCCTCAAGTTTGGTTTGATTCACTTTATAGCTTGATGCAAATTAAATCCATCCTTTATGGCATATTGAATGTAATCATGGGACATCGCAATAAACAATGTTGATTTCTTTTGTATTTTCTTAGTTTCATTTGAATGTGTATCACACCTATGTTATTTTGCCTTTTGTTGGGCAGCTGATGGGGATCAGAATGTTCTTGGCTGTATTCTTAGACTGCCTGGGAGATCATCTTAGCCATTGGCTGAAATGATTCCTCTATCACAAACACCAGCTAGCATACCCAGAGTAAAATATGATTTGATAATAGCCAATTTCTAAATACTTTCTTGGGCAGGTGTGTGTTTCTGGCAGGTCTACATTTTGTAATGTAGAAAGGAGAGAGGTGTACAAGAAATGCTTCTTAGATAAGGCATGCATGAGATTTATCTTTCAGAAAAATTAATGAGAAGAAATGGAGCCTTTATATATTATATACATTTGATTCTCCCCAAAAGTCATTGAAAAGGCACAATTCACAATCAGTATTACATTCTGAATATGCTGACATATTTAGAATAGATACCCTAACATAAACCATAATAGAGGACATTATGGTTTTAGTAGAATAACATAAGTAACTGAAATGATAGAATATAATATTTTTAAAACATGTAGATTTACTTATTTGCCTTATTGTTTTGAACAGTTTTTACCTGCCATGCTGTCTTAACATGTGGCATATTAGATATATTGAAACACAATTAAAACATATTTTGAAATGCATCATATCAAAAGCCAATTGAGAGCTGCATTCTAGAATGATTATGTTTAATTATTGCAGAATTTATAACAATCTTCCTGAAGTGAAGAAGAAACAAGAAGAGAAACAGAAACGGATAATCATACAGAGCAACAGAAAGCGGGTTGAAATATTTAAAAAGGTAAAAGATTTCCAATCAATTGTTAAATACAATCCCCCTTCTTCTTATATAGCAAAACAGGAAGCTGAATCATCAATATTCTCATTCTATTTTTTTTCCTCATAGCTGACCTAAGCTTTAGCATAATAAAGCAGAAATTTCATATCCTATGTTCCTCTATTTGTGCTTTGAACATCAATGGGGAGTGTAAATAAGATTATGAAATTATAGTGATATTTTGCCCGTAAGTGTGAGATCTTATTGCCCATACCCTCAGGAGTGGACTGCTGGGGGTTCGCAGGGGTTTAGGAGATCCTCTAGCTAAGATTTTGCGCAGTTCGGAGAAATCCTACTCCCAAATCCCACTCCTGTCTGGCCCCGCCCACCCCTCCCCTCCAAGGAGTCCCCACACGGCCCATTTTGGATGCAGATAAGTGCAGGGCGTGCACGGAGACTCAGGGAGGGTGAAAAACAGGCCTTCCGGAAGTTTGGAAAGGTTGGAAAGGTTGTTTCTTCCAGAGAGCTTCCAGAGCCCGGGGAGACCGTTTTCACCCTCCTGGAGGCTCAAGGAAAGCCTCTGGAGCCCGGGGAGGGCAAAAATGCCCCCCCTGCCATGGTGCAGGAGGCCGACTAGGCGATGCCCATCATGGCCACGCCCACCCAGCGACCAGGCAGAGAACTCGTTGCTAACATTTTTGAAGCCTACCCCTGGACATGTTCAAATGTAATAATGGGCTCAAAAACTATATGTAACAGAAGTCTGTTAGATCCGCTTGGAGAGATGGACAATTAGCCAGATTTATAAAATTCATTTCTGAGGAACTACTGAACAACATAAATCTATGTATCTCTAAAGAAAGTAAGTTCTTGTCACAATGAAGAAAAAAGGTTTGTAATAAGAATATATGGTTTCTATTATAAATATTATCTATTACACTGTAATTATGTCATACATCATTTTTATATTGTATGTATAATTGCTTATATTATTATTCTATTCATCCTTTGTTCTTAAAATGTTTAGTATTACAGCTTTTATGTTTGTTTTATGTTTGTTTTCCTTCAGCAATTATTGGACCAACTCCTTCAAAGAAATACAGAATGAATAAAGATTCCTGAATGCAACACATCATTCTTCTTGGGACTCCAGGGTTTTTGAAAATTAAAAAGCCATATAAATCTAGAATGACCTTTAATCACAAGCAACCTTATTTGTTTATAGACAAAGAAAATAGCTTGTTTTGTTTTTTTAAAGTAATTCTGGAAAGTTACTAGTTTCCAGTGAAACAGCTTTAAAATGGTTTTATGCAATTGTTAAGGTAAACATATTATTTATTTTCTGTATTTTAAACCAAAAGACAACTTTTAAATTATGACTGCAGGATATTTAAGCTTACCTACAATAAACATTAATATATGTATTCCATTTATATACTGCATCAAGTTTATAACTTTTAAATTAAATGAATATAGTTGTTATTATGGCTAGAAACAAACCTAAAATAGAAAGGCTGACTATTTATTTGAACTTAAAATTTAAATTAATGGCTAATATAATAGGCAAATATTTTAATCTATGAACTATATTTTTGTTTCATATAATGAATAGGATACCAGTTTAAAATAATATTTAATATCTAGTTATTATAATCAAACATGTTATTTATTAAGCCATGTAATTTTGCCTTGTTCTATATTTATTAGAAGTGATATATTTAAAAACTTGGTTATTTCGATCAGTCAGCATGAAAGATTACACAATTCAAAACAACTAATGTATGCTCCATAAATGTTTCAAATTATTATTTGTTCAGTAATAAAGCAAGCTAAAGTTTATTCAAATAAATAAAACAGACCAAGTTCCATTAATTTTATTAATCTCAAAACTATTAAAATGCAAAATAATGTTCATACATTTCTATCAGCATAATATCAGTTCTGAAGAAGCTCCTTGGATGAGATGTGAAACATTTTCAAAGAAAAACCTGAAAGTCCAGTTGCCTATTAAAAAAGCACTTTTGGGACAACATCCTTAATAGCTTCCATTTTCCACCAATGTTAGATAACCAACACATAATACATTTTTTCAGATTTAAGGATATGCCCCATACCTGATTGCTACTAAAAAAGAAGGAAGGAAGGAAGGAAGGAAGGAAGGAAGGAAGGAAGGAAGGAAGGAAGGAAGGAAGGAAGGCCTTTGCTACGCAAAGCATGGAGAAAGAACTCATCCTTACCCACCCACACGTGCTTTCTGATGGTGGTGAAGGAAAGTTATTGATATTGATATTAGTAATTGCTTAGTTGTCTAATGAAACATCTGCAAGAAAACCACTGAGCTCAGAGAGCACTTCACAAGGACTTTCACAGTTCAATCCTACATGTATTCTCTTCTATTGATATCAGTCAAAGGAACAAGCCAGCCAATTGCCTCAAAGAATCTGACCGATTGGCACTAGAAAGTAAGTAAGTAAGTAAGTAAGTATATTGTTGAAGGACAGGCAAATTAATGAAAGAGTTAACTTTTTATTGATCTTTTTAATGACCTTCTCATTCTTGACACAGCTGATTGTGGTTTAGTTTCTGACAGTTAAAATCATTCAAACAAATAGTTTGAATTGTTTAATTTTAAACAACGAATTGTTTGGGATTAAAACAAATGAAGACCTTCCCCTCACCTCAGTGTGTTTGCTCAGTGTGCTCTATGCCTCTCTCCTACTGACCTAATTAAATAAGTAATGCTTACATAACTGGTTCATACAGACTTCGGGGGGGGGGGGGGGGGGGTCGACTCTACATTGTTGATGCTGTGATTGTAAACACACACCATCTATACAAGCCAGGTATTGCAAAAAGACAAAGACATATGACATTTTGTACACAATGATGCAGAAATCTGAGTAACATGATCTGACCTAAAAAATAATAGATTGCCAGAGCTGATGTAGAAATGCTGGGCTCAACCTTATCAGAAAGCTGAACTCATTACTTCAATTGGGGTAAAGAATTTGCCACTTTAGGGATCAATAGGGTGACTTCAATGTTTATGTTAAAAAAATTGTGTCTGACCCTTTTAAAAAATATTATCTAGTAATTTTGTTTAAGGGTCTGTTGCTATATTCTCTTTCCTCGGCATAGAAGAGGGGTGTCAAACTCAAGGGCCATGGGCTGGATCCGACCTGCAGGGTGCTTAGATCTGACCCACAGGGCCATCCTGGTAACAGCGAAGGACCAGCCCATGATGCATCTGCTAGCGAAAACAGAGCTCAGGAGGGCTGTTTGCAGCCCTCCTGAGCTCCGTTTTCATTGGCAGAGGGTTGCAGGAGGCCATTGCAGCTGAAAACGGAGCTTGGGAGCCCATTTTTGCTGGCAGAGCTCTCAGGCCACCACAGGCACTGACACAAGTGAAATTGAGTTGACCACACCCACACTGGCCACACCCACACTGCCCCTCCAAGATCAAACACAACTCTGATGTAGCCCTCAATGAAATCGAGTTTGACACCCTTGGCACAGAATATTTTTATGCTACTATAACCTGACCTTTGACCTGAACCATTCTAAAGAATCATGCTATATTTATTCTACTGATATCAGAAATGACATAGTGTTTGGAAGAAAGTTTTGAATTTGTTCAAAACTGCATTTTGGCATTTAAAATTTATTAATCTTGTTTCTTTTATATCCATAGATATATGCACACTAATTTTTGAAGAATGAAGATAAAATATATAGCAAATATGAAAAAAAGCATAAAATACAGTTGTTAACAAATAGTAAATAGGGAGCCTGAGGCAAACCATTGGCAGGAAACAATTGTAAGATATGAATGTAGGTTATGAAGAAGGAAAAAGAGCTACTGTGTCTATTTTTAAAATATGTATTTAATATTTAACTCAACTCTTATTCTATTGCTTCATACTATTAAGAGTGGAAGAGAAGACATTTTGGGGGAAATGTCTGAATGTTTATGAAGTCTTTGAATACTTCTGCATTTTTTATTTTTTGAAATTAATCTTTGTTTTAGGAAAACAAAGGTTAGGCAGTAAGTAATTAAATATTGTTTCAGCTGCAATTTCAGAATACCTGTTCACATGATACTATTTCAAAGTTCCAATTTTCATAATCTATATTGTGGTATTAATAACATTTTTCCAAGCTCAACAAAGAATTCAGTGTGAGATGAGAAACTGATTTGTAATTGCAACTATTGCATTATTGTATTGTATTTTAATAGTGATTCCTTTATGGATATTGTATGTATAGAACTCCTTGTCTATAAAAATGTTTATACATAACAGTTGGAGACATGACCCATATGATTCAAAAATATTGTATGCTCTTACTACAAGACTTTGTTTAGCCTTTGATTTAATGATTTGAATAAAATCCAAGATTTTATTTTCATATCCAAGATTTTCCTCGAATTATTTGGAGGCCCTTGATTAGAAGCAGGCTCCCAAACAAACAATTTGGAATCTGAATTTTACATTAAATGTCTTGGACATTTACAAAGGGGACTGCATTATTTTTTCTATTTGTTGTAACTGGGTTGGCACAAACAACTAACTCTAGAAAAGCATACATAACCCTTAGCAATAAGTGGAAGTGAGGCTTAAGATGATTGCTGTCCATAAACTGGTAAATTAGATATCTATTTGTGTTTTATTTTTTTCCCCTCTGACTTTTTAATGTTGCTTCCACAGATGACAGTCTATTGCTAGTACTATTGACTTGGTTGCTCTCCCATTATATATCTCATTTAAAATGGGTCTCTTGGCACTCACTGATTTCTAGCTGCACCTGACTACATTTCGAAAAACATGCTTTCAATTTTCTAAAATAAGGCATAAAGGAAAGCTTCAATCCCCATAATCATCTTTTTTGCCATAATTCTAGGCCCCAGCTGGAGCCCTTAAGCTTTCATAGAAAAAATTAAAAAATTGACAACCAATGGTTTAGTCTGGAAATGTGACCTTCTACCCCAGAAGTAAGAAAGCAAGTGGGAATAATTGGGACCATACTTGTATTAAGGGGAAGAGTAACGGATGATAGGTAACATTAATATTTTATAATTTGTTTTCCTTGTTTCCATGGCAGTCCTAAATATCTGGTTAGAATTGCGGACAAACACCTGCTAATACATTTGAGGACTCTGAAATATTACATAAGACCCACAACTTATACAAACCAAAAGGTATTATCTCTTGCTAACTCCATTACTGATAGTAGTTAATCTCAAAAATCATATGGTGTGATCTGTTGATCATTGAGTCTTCTTTTCCGGTAAGACATTTTTGGGAAGAAGCACCAAAGTATTTGATTTAAATTTATCCTGGTGCAACAATTGCAGCATGGTCATCTTCAGTGCATTTGAATAGCATTTCGAAAGAAGAACTTTACATTCCTTTTTTTTATTGGATCAAATTTGAACTGCCCATTTGCTTCCTGAAAGTAAACATCTGCCCTATATTTCCTTAATCAATTCAGGCTTTGAAATGAATTATAATGCAACCCTTTAAATTACATTTAATATAATTTTGAGATTAATTACTATGCCTCCCTCTGATCATATTATTGAAAAAAAAATCTAGTGTTTGGAAGTTCTCTTTCAAAATAACCCCACTTTTGTAAGATTAACACATTTAGCAAGTATTAAATCTTCTAGATTTTTTTTAAAGCTTGGATAACAAATTGAAGTATTTCTTCTTTCCTAACTGGGTCTGGCATTTTACCAAAACTGTAGGAGGGAAAATGGTTCAATAACCATCTTCAGTGACTTACGAAGTTGGATAGCAAAGAATATCATCTGTCTACCAGATGCAAAACTGGCATGAAGAAAAAAAAATGCTCATACAGATGATAACGTAAGCAATTATGTAGAGAAGAGTCCAAGGTTAAGAAGTAGGGAAGTGTTATCAATAACTGCGAAAAATAGTTCCATTTTCTTAATAGAAGGCAATAATGCTGACAGATTAATATCTCAAAATGGATTTATTGCTCCATTATTAAGAGAACTTTATTAGTTATTTTGTAACATGCTTATTTAGAACACTTTACAGCAGCTACATATTCATTATTAGAGCTGATATTTTGCTAAGTATAGTC